GCAAGCTTGTGCTCATTCTTCTGCATCTCTGTCAGTACCATCAGAAAAGCTTCCCGCAGGTGACTGCTGGCCCTTCATCTAGGACTTCAGAATGAATACACAGGGAGCAGATCAGAGCCTTGCCCATAACAAGCAAACCCAGCCAGTCCTGCGGTTTGAACAAAAGCTGCCAGCCACGCCCAACCAACCCCCAGATACATGAGAAATAAGTGTTTATTGGTGAATGCTACTAGACTATGTGGTTGTTTGTTCTGCAGCATTATAGTGACAATGTATTACCTCTGGGTAAGGGAGTGATAATGAGTTTTGCCCTCTTTCCCTGTATTTTTTTTCTACTTAGTAGGTATTTTAGCATGTATTACTTCTATAATCAGGAAAAAAAGCTATATCCATCATGAGAAAAAGAGAAAGGTACAATCAAGATAATTTATATATACATACTGTTTTAAATGATCATTGGCAAGAGCTATTCTATCTCTGCGTTGTTTTCCTGCTTTTTCTTGTTCTTCCTTAAGCGCTTTTTCAATGTTGAGTTTCAGTTGTTCCTCCCATTTTTTATCAGATTTTATTCTACTCTTTTGGGATTCAATCTGAGCATCACGTTCTTTCATCACTCTACTAAGAAGAAGTCCTGACTACAAAAAAAAAAATTACAGTACTTTAAGAAAATAAAATCTAATTGTGTATAAATATGTTAAGTATATATAAAAATACAAGAAAACCCAAGTAGTACATGAAAGTTTTTCAGTCTTTCTGTCTGGTAAAATTGATATTGCTTTGCATGTTCAATGGCCTTTCTTCTTTCTCCTTGTTTGTATATTGCTTCTTCCAGATCAAGAATTTGTCTTTCGGCCTCTATTTCTTCATCACGCTTCTTTTTGGCTTTAAGTTTTTGTTCTTTTATCCCCTGCAAAAAAGACCAAAGCAGTCATCTGTTTTCATTTTTCAATTAAATTTTACAAAATTGAACATTGTAATATGATCATTTGAACTTTCATTATTAGTCTTTATTGTATTTGCATTTATCATTAATAAATAAAATAAGAAGTTACACTCATGAGCTAATTTTTAATTGAACTTTTTAGGTAGGTAACACAGTTATATGGTTGAAAACCCAAAAATACTATAAATGTATACACTGAAACTCTCCCTCCAATCCTAATTTACATCGGCAATCTCTAAGACAACCACTATTATTAGTTTCTTGTGTTTATTTCAAAGTTCCTTCATATATTTACATAATAATATATAAGCATACATCATATGATTCAGCTATTCTACACCAAGATATTTACCCAAGAGAAATGAAAGCATATATCCATACATAGACTTACACATGAAAGTTCATAAGCAGCTTTTAAAAAAATATATATTTTTATTGATTTCAGAGAGGAAGGGAGAGGGAGAAAGAGATAGAATCATCAATGATGACAGAGAATCATTGATTGGCTGCCTCCTGCACACCCCCTACTGGGGATTGAGCCCACAACCCCGGGCATGTGCCCTTGACCAGAATCGAACCCGGGACCCTTCAGTCCACAGGCCGATGCTCTATCCACTGAGCCAAACTGGCTAGGGCTATATGTAAAAATATTTATAAGAGTGCTAAGAAAAAAAGTAAGCCTTCAGTGCTTATGTACTCCTGGGTGGTTAATACTTACTGCATATGTTCGAGCCCAATGTTTTACCACTTCTTGGGATCGGAGATGCATTTCTTTCTTTGCCTTTCTTTCTGCGCGAAGGCATGCTGCTTTTCTTGTCATACCGTCAATGCTATCTCGAATCCTTTCCCACTCATTGTGTGGAATTATGGTGACCTGCTGGAGATCTACTTTGCTAGGTAGAAGAGGTGGATAGAGAACTTGATCTTCGTTGGAGTTCTTTATTTCTAATAAAGTGTTAAAAATGAATATTAAAAACTTTCAAGAAGAGTGTGATATTTTTTTCTCAGACATTTCTATATAGGTATATCTAGAAATTATTTGAAATAATAATTATATTCTTGCTATCTTAAGAGCAGCTGGGATTAAATGGAAAGATACAACACCTTGAAATCAAAAGACATAGATTTGAGTCCTTGTTTAGTCATTTCCTTAGTGTGTAAAGTTGGGCAAGTCATTTAACTTCTTGGAGTCTTGGTATCAACATTTTTAAAGCTGACATCAATAATACCTACCCAACAGGTTGTTGTAAAAGCATTTTTCAATTTAACCACGTAGGAGTTTATAAATGGACTAGAGGCCCAGTGCACAAAATTCATGCATGGGGAGGGGTGTCCCTCAGCCTGGCCTGCACCCTCTCGCAATCTGGGACTACTGGCTCTTAACTGCTCACCTGCCTGCCTGCCTGCCTGATCACCCCTAACCACTCTACCTGCCTGCCTGCCTGATCGCCCCTAACCACCTCTGCCTCGGCCCCCATCACCGCGGCTTCATCCCTAAGGTCATCCAGAAGGACGTCCAGAAGGTCATTCAGTTGTCTGGTCTAATTAGCATATTATGCTTTTATTATTATAGATAACTTTGGGAATGTTCACCTATTGGGATTGTAGACATTATAACTGACTCTATTCAACCCCTTCCTAACTGAGTACCAGCAATGTAATTTGGAGAACTGACTACAGTTTCCAATGTGGGCCTCATTAGTTTAAGAATACTTGCATCTCCCTTGCCAATAATTATTTCTATAATAAAAAAAATAGGAGAAGAGGTTTATTTGAGACTTTTAGAAAAGTTCTTTCTTGTTCTTCTGGTAAAGATATCTGAGAGTTACTCTCAAGCTACTCTCAAGCTAGATATGAACAAGGAAGCATGAAGGCCAGATAGGCACCCATCCTAGGACCACAAAAGGAAGCTGTTACTGTGAACCACAAGGTGGAAAAAAAGGAAGCACCTGGCACAATGAGGATCTCATTATACTGCTAGTTCAATCAGATCAATCAGACCTGAAGCCTGGAGTTCCTTAGTCAGTGGTGAACAGGCTCTGGATGGAAGCAGTGGAAGGAGAGCTGCATGTGAGAAGCTATGTGGTACACAATGTGATCCCTCCTCTGTGACATCCCAGATCTTCAGTAGAGTAACTGCACTCATGAGATGTTTTATTCAAGATCTTTTGTTGTTGTTGTTAATCCTCACCCAGAGATATTTTTTCCATTGATTTTAGAGAGAGAGGAAAAGGGGGAGAGACACACAGAGAGAAACATCGAGTGAGAGAGACACATCAATTGGTGGTCGGGGATCAAATCCACAACCGAGGTACGTGCCCTTGACCAGAATCAAACCCATAACCCTTCTTCAGTCAGCGGTCCAACGCTCTAACCACTGAACAACCAGCTAGGGCTTATTCAAGATCTTTTCATGGACTCTGACTCAAGAAGAGAACCAAGAGAACAAAAGCAGTAGAAATGGACAAGCATAAAGAAATAAGAGAACCCACAGAAAATCTGGGAAAGTTTTTTGACTTTCGAGGCCACTGAAGTTGGGACAAGTTCCCCCATCTCTCTGAGGATAAGGAGCTCTGATTGACATCAGAGATACAGATGATCTCACACATCCATGCTCTAGTTCACTGGATTGATGTACAGTTCACTCCTCTAAGGCCACTCTTATTTCCAAGATCCTTTCCTCACAGTGGCTCTCACACAATGCTAGTAGTGGCTGTTCCAGAAATTAAACAGGCCACAGTTGAAAGAAGGAACAAGAAAAAAGACAGTCTCATGGAGTAGAGAGGGGACAAAAGCAGTGACAAATGACCTATGGGTATCTAAAATCAGTCCATGAGCCAGTCCATGAGCCTGTCATCGTTAACACACTTTTCGTGGCTTACAAAATCTCTCTTTTTAAATTGAGATATAGTTCACATATCATAAAACTCACCATTGTAAAGGGTGAGTGACTTTTAGTCTATTCACAAAGCTGTGCAAACATCACCACTAATTCCAGAACATAAGTTTCTTGGTCATCTTGTTTGTACTCAACTATCATCACTTCTTCAGCCAGCTGTGAAGTTTACAAAATGGCACTGATTTTTAAAAATATATATATATATATATTTATTGATTTCAAAAAGAAAGGGAGAGGGAGAGACAGAAACATCAATGATGAGAGAAAATCATTGATCAGCTGCCTCCTGCACGCCCCCTACTGGGGATCGAACCTGCAACCCGGGCATGTGCCCTTGACCGGAATCGAATGGGGTCCTTTAGTCGGCAGGCCGATGCTCTATCCACTGAGCCAAATGGTCTAGGGCGGCCCTAATTTTTTTAACAAACATACCTGATGAGCTCTGAGTAAGGTAAACTCCAGACTCCTGGAACTGCAACCACACAGATCAATTGGGTCAGCCTACTTCTTATATTTTCTCCACCTCTATTTATGTAAACTTTTTCTTTTCAAATGTTTTTATTGATTTCAGAGAGAGGAAAGGAGAGGAAGAGGGATAGAAACATTAAGGATGAGAATCATTGATCGGCTGCCTCCTGCATGTCCCCTACTGGGATCCAACCGGAAACCGGCATGTGCCCTGACCTGCACATCCCCGGTTCATGGGTCCACGCTCCACCACTGAGCCACACTGGTCGGGTATTTATGTAAACTTTTCCCACCTACCGATTCATCTGAGGGCAAAACTGTCTAATTTACATAGAACCCCACGCTGCTTTTGACTTGGAGTCCACTTCACCTGGACTAGGCCCCCTCACCTGGCACCCTCGCCTCTCACCCCGCGTCTGGGGGGTCAGAAACAATCCCCATGTCAGCGTGGGGCAGTTTAGCTCACCCGTGCTTCCCTTCGCCTGTCCAGAGCGCCTTCCGAACCGCACCTGCATCTCTGCCGAGGTGCCCATGGCGCTCTGAGACTTGGAAAGGCGACTGCGAGGCGGGGCGCTGCAGCCTCTAGCCTGCAGTGTTTGGGAATGCCGCGCAGTTGCTTAGCAACGCCGCCGGAAGTGACGGCAGCTGCCGCTGAAGAACGAGGAACCGGCCGCTGCGGGCTGTGGGGCCGGAGAACCCAGGCTGCGCCTGCGCGAGAAGCGAAGGCCGGTGTCAGAGTGGGGCGTCCCCACGGACAGGCGCGGGGGCGCTCCGCGGGAGCAGGGCGGAGGCTCGCACAGCTGCCGACTCCTGTCCTGGGCCAGTGCGGGAGCTGGGGACCCGGGCTGGTGCCCCCATCCTCCTCCATCACGGGCCTCCCGCGGGACGACCCCTCCTAGTCCCGGCGGACCGGGCAGGTGTGTGGGGAGCGGGGCCCCGGCTGGTGTGTGCGGCCCGCGGTGTCCTCGCGCGGGGAAGGGGAAGGGCCGCGCTCTCCCTTAGCCGTGGGAACGCAGGGGTTCCTTGACAGAAAATCGATGTTTAAATACTTTAGTTTCTAGGGCGTAATTCGGGCCAGATGGGGCTCAGTTTTTTAAACATAAGGTGAAAACTTGGATGTTGTCTCAACGTTCATATTCGGACCTTTAATGTATTTAAATTGCTTGGTAAATACAGTAAGTTGAATGTATTTGGAGCATCAACCAGACCTGGAAGGACACCAGAATCTGTTAAGAGTGGGTGCGGGCTTGGTCTCAGAAGATACTTTTCCAACACATCGAGGTGGAAATGATTTCCTGACAAGCTAGCGGGCTGCAATGCGTCCTTATTAGGCACCAAGTCGGAGTTGTTCAAAATGGAAGGAGTAACGTTTTCAATCACTGAAGTTCTAACGTAGTTGTACTGTTTTTCTTCAGGTTTTCTATCAGATGTTCCACCGTAAGAATGCTGGTAAGTATGAAAGGGGTCAATAAAATACTTGGTTTTGCTGTTTGTTTGTTTTTGGGAGGCACAGTTTTTAAAATGTCAAGAACTGGGAAAGAGATTCCACCCTGCCTGCATGCTAGCAACACCTGCTACAGTTTTGTAGAAGCTGCAGGCCCCTAGATCAGAGGTGAGTTACAGCAGGAGCGGTAGTCAGAAGAGCAGCAATTTTACCCCAGTCCCCAGAGTCAGAAGTCATCTAAACACGGAGTTAGGCTAAGGAACCCAAATCTTTATTACAACGAACAATAAGCATCTCAAGGCTACATGTCTTATTTAAGCAGTCCTCAATTCTTGGATGTGTATGTAGTTTCTAGTTTCCATTAGTTAAAAGCACATAGGTTATTGTTAGACTATGGAAACATTGCAGATATACAAAATATATATACTGCTCCAGCTGTGGGAGAGAATAGTTAATAACTATTTGGGGAATTTTAACAAATTGGTTTCAAAATAGATTCACATTCTTAAAATTGGATGTTTGTGCATATCCTTAATTTTTGAGACTTTTATTTCAAGTATGCCAAATCTTTGAATGTTTATTGACAACAGACTGTAGTATTGGTCTGTTATTTAACAAACAAAAAGAAAAAGTGGAATTTGTAATTCTCAACGTAATCAGTGTAACACTTGTGATTGTATCCACCAGGTAAAAACTTATATTTACATAACATTCCATTTTGCATTTAAGGTTTGTGTTTAATCAAGATTTTGTTTTTCTGTTGCCAATAGGTGCTTTTCTGATGTAAGAAAAAATAGCATCATAAGAAAACAAATTTTAAAATATCTTAAATAAACTTTTATTAATTTTAGGAGTTAAGAAGTCTCTGTTCCTTTGCTCCAAACCAGAAGACTTCGTTGCCTGCATATAGAGTAGGAGTAATGTTGGTTAGAAACGGGCTGGTGTTGAAAACAGAAGGTTGTCATGACTATTTAACTCTATGCTAAAGTGCGATTAATTGTCTTGGAAATACTTAGTTGGGTAAGTATTTTTAATAAAGGTTTATGTTGAGTGGTAAAAAAAAATGAATATAAAAATATATGAAATTAAGAAAAGTTCACTTTTAGGTAGAAATTAATAGCAGTGGCACTATATTAACTTCAGGCTTATGACATATCTTAGTATTTTTAGGTCAATAGTTCAGGAATTTTAGTAACGTGTAGCTAATTAAATCTAGGCTTGAGGAAATTTTTAACCAACAATGAGTTATACTTGAAAAAAATTTTAATTAAATTCAGAATGCTTAAAATCATATTTAATTTAAAATATGCCTAGGTACAGTCCTAATGTAATTGTCAACTATGCTTTATTGCTATTTATTACATTGTTTCTAAGTGCATCATTGTTTTTAAGTGCATAATTCACTTTCCCATGTGAATTATGCACTTAAATCTCTGGGAGCCAGTCAGAGGCAGCTGGGTTAGGCATTTGGAGATTCAAGGATACAGAGTCTCAGGATATTACAGGGTGGGGCAAAAGTAGGTCTACACAGTGTTTATTCTTGTAGTAGTATTGATTAATTATTGTATTATTTTTCATACAAACAACTGTAAACCTACTTTTGCCTTACCCTGCATATATCTAAATTCACACAACAGGAGATACCATCTAGATTAATTATTCTCCAGATTTTCTAAATTGAGAGACATTGAATACTTACTCTTATATGGGTAATGACCTCTACTCTGTTTCACCTGCTGGCTATCTATTTTTTTTTTAATATATATTTTTATTGATTTCAGAGAGAAAGTGGGAGAGAGAGAGAGAGAGAGAGAGAGAGAGAGAAGCATCAGTGATGAGAAAGAATCATTGATCGGCTGCTTCCTGCACTCCTGCACACCCCCCTACTGGGGATCGAGCCCACAACCTGGGCATGTGCCTGGACCAAGAATCAAACTGGGACCTCCTGGTTCATAGGTCAATGCTCAACCACTGAGCCACACTGGCCAGGGCTAACTATTGTAATAAACCAGAGAATACATGTGATTAAATGCCATGTTTTCCTTTTTTTTTAATTTAAATTAAATTTATCCTGGTAATATTGGTTAATAACATGTTTTCCATTTTTATTTATCTCTTTTATTTATGGGGTTCTTCACTTTTCTTTGTAGAATTTCTTGCTAAAACCTCAGAATGGTTATGAAGTAGATCACAGAGGTAGTATTATAGGTAGTGTGTACTTTAATGAATGTTTTTATGTAATTAAACCTCTTTTTGTTAAAATAACCTTAGTATTTTATTTTTAAACTGATCAATAATCTTTAAATACTGTATTCTATTTCTTAGACACTAGTGTGGTTCTTAAAAGCATGAACTTTGAAGTCAAGCAGACCTGAGTCAAAATTCCAGCTCTGCCATTTAACTAATACTTAACCAACCTATCTAATACTTAAGCACTAGTTTACATATCTTTAAGGTGAGGATAATTACTACTTAATAGGGTTATGATAGTTAAATGAGATAATTATAAAGTTCTTAGTTAAGTGTCTGGTGATCTCTCTAAAAATATTACTCTTTTTAAAATGTTCTATATATACTAATTATAGTTTTTATTTGGGTAATCTACTGTATAATTATTTTTACATGATAATTTTCATTCATACCATCTGTTAACCAATTTATTCTTTTCTCTTGAGATGTATAATTGACCTGTATTATCTTTTAAAGTAAAAGATTGAAGTAATTGTCATATTGTAAGTAATGTGATTACTCAAGTATGTCCAGATTATTTGGCACTCTGGTCAGGGCATATACCTAGGTCAGGGGTGGGCATATACCTTTTTGTGAGTGCATGCCAAAACCAGCAAAATCTCTGACTCAAAATTCTTCTGCGTACCAACCCTAATTTTTTGAGAACATGTTATGCCTACTTGATATCTCTTAAGGTGTACATATGTGAAGAACCTTGAAGAAATAATAAAATTCATTCGAGCGACAAAAACACAGTATATGATGATGAAAAATACATTTATTTTTTAATGTATACATGTACACTGATAGTCCGACAGAAAACTTTATGACTCCGTTTGATATTATCAGTGGGACTTTTGCTGCTGCATCACTGATGACAGAGATTTTACATCAGGTTTATATTTCGTGACCTTCAGAGATATTCACGAGCTACTACTTTCATCCATCAGGCTACTCCTTTCACGAGACTTAACAAAATTCATCACTGAGAACAAAGATTCACAAGCGTATGTGGATAAAAACATGGAGAGTAATGCTGTTGCAAAGTTTTTTTAAACAAAAAAAAATTTTTTGGAATAGCATTCCAAGTCCTCAATAGTTCATTTTCGACACTTCCCTCTGGTACTCCTGTCTCTAACCGCTTTTTTTCAATGTGTTTTCCAAGTCAACTCTAAGGTCAATAAATTTCTGCTTCCAAATTGAGCTACTCTGAAATTCAATCAACTGTATTTCAAAGTCAGCCATGTCTATGGTCTTTAAGATAACTTGTTATGTAAAATTATTTATTTATCTAAGATGCACCTACACTGAATTTATCTGAAAAATACAAAAGTCGATATTAAGCAAAAAATTGTAAATGGAAGATTATAAGAGAGGGTTTCACGTGCCAGTAAAAGTTACTGGCGTGCCATGTTTGGCACACATACCAGGGGTTGCCCACCCCTGACCTAGGTTGTGGGTTCAATCCCTGGTTGGGGTGCATACAGGAGGCAACCAATTGATGTTTCTCTCTCACATTGATGTTTTGCTCTCTCTCCCTGGCTTTCTCTGTCCCCTCCCCCTTTCCCTTCTCTCTGAAATAAATAAGTAAATAAATAAATGTAAAAATTGTTAACAAAAGTTACTACTAGTCCAGAAGAACTAAACTAACCTCCATTTCAAGTAATTTGTTTAGAATTTCAAGTACAGCATCCTGTAACCATTTAGTTTTAACATTGGCATTGATATTAGAAATTGATTTCAAGCTAAACACTTTTTTTTTTGTTCGCTATTAATCATCATTACACAGGCCAACATACAATAACCACCTTGAGGTTTTTAATGTGATTGCTAATGTTTGTTGCAGAATACTTCATCGAATAGGACAAATAGCCTATTGGCCCTCGGAAATCCAATCTCCTTATATCAAGCTGAAGTGAGTGAAAGTAGACTGTGCATTGAAAATGCTACAAGATTATAGGCCAGCCCTGGCTGGTTTGGCTCAGTGGATAGAGCATCAGCCTGCGGACTGAATGGTCCTGGGTTCGATTCTGGTCAAGTGCACATGCCTGGGTTTTGAGTTCGATCCCCAGTGGGGGCTGTGCAGGAGGCAGCCAATCAATGATTCTCTCTCATCATTGATGTTTCTATTTCTCCCTCTTCTTCCTCTCTGAACTCAATTAAAAAATATTATATAAAAAAAAAGATTATAGGCCAGACAACTTCAATGAAAGCAGTGTGCTTTTATCATTTCCCAACATTACAAGAGAACTCACCAGCAACTAGAAGCTATTAATCAGAAATAAGAGCTATTATTAAGCAAATTTCCTACCAATTAGTGATGTGAATCCTCTTCTCCTTTCCTGCTGGTTTGCTCACTATGCAACCCTTTATCTTTCTCTCTCATCTCTACCCATTACGAACTCAATGATCTTGCTCTCTCTTTCCTGTATGGTAGAAATCTTTCTGTGCTGTGCAATTTAATACTTAATGATAATACTATTTTGTGCTAGTCTCTAATTGTTTTAGATGTGCTATATATTCTCAACTAGATTGTAGACCCTGAGGCTAGGACCATGTGTCATATTTCTTTGTGAATGCTTTTTTTTTTTTTTTTTAAGAGAAACATAGATTGGCTGCCTCCTGCACGTCCCCTACAAGGGATTGAGCCAGCAACCCAAGCATATGTCCTAATCGGGAATTGAACCAGCAACCTTTCAGTGCAGGGGACAATGCCCAACCAACCAAGCCACACCAGCCAGTATTGTTAATGCTTTTTATGCTAAACATGATAGGCACTAAGTAATGTCTTATTGGAAAATCTAAAAATAGCCACTTGTTTTGTACAACTGTGACCAGAGCTCAAAGCAAAAACACTTCATGTCCATGTTTAAAAAAAGTATTTAAAGTTTGCAAGATTTAATGTTATGTTAAGTTTGGTCTGAATTTTGGTTGTTAAGTTTGGTCTGAATTTTGGTTAGTACACAGAGACCTATTGTTTAATATGAAGATTATTGTATGCACAGGTAGGGTCCCTAGGCCTGGCCAGCGATCAGGGCCAATCCGGGCTTTCAGGCTGCCGGCCAATCCGGGCTTTCAGGCTGCCGGCCCTGGGGCCCTCCTTCATTCTGTGCTGCCCCCCTGGTGGTCAGCATGCATCATAGCAAGCGATCAAACTCTCGGTCAAACTCCTGAGGTGACAGTTTGCATATTAGCCTTTTATATATAGAGATATTTTAAACTAATAAGTTTGGCTGTAATGATAAAAATGAGTAATTAGCATACATTTTTCTGTATTATTTAAACATTTCTAAATAAGACTGTAAGAGAATAATTGTTTCATTGCTTCTCTCAATAGCTTAATTCTAAATGCTCAAGGAATAATCCCCACAGGATCACAATAATATCGTGGATATCCTTTTTATATATTCTATTTTCTATTCACTTAAAATACTCAAATATGAACTTTGCTTCTCAGGCAAATATGCTTAAATGGTGGTCCAAAAATTCTTAGTTATTTTAATTTGTTTATGTTCACCCTATGTTTTAACAGATTCACCCTATGTTTAACACTCAGTAATGTTTGTTAAGTAATAGCTATATATGTAAAACAGAGTATTTAGGGAATAATATTTCTTCTTTTTCAGGGTAACCTAAATCTGTTTTGGAACCATGAAAATTTTGCTGGTTTTTGACTTTGACAATACAATCATAGATGACAATAGTGACACCTGGATTGTACAATGTGCCCCAGAGAAAAAGCTTCCTAATGAACTACAGGATTCTTACAAAAAAGGATTTTGGACAGAATTTATGGGCAGAGTCTTTAAGTATTTGGGAGAGGAAGGTGTAAGAGAAGATGAAATGAAAAGAACAATGACATCAATGCCTTTCACTCCAGGGATGGTGGAACTTTTAAACTTTATAAGAAAGAACAAGGACAAATTTGATTGCATCATTATTTCAGATTCAAATTCTGTCTTCATTGATTGGGTGTTAGAAGCTACCAATTTTCATGATGTGTTTGATAAAGTGTTTACAAATCCCGCAGCTTTTGATGGCAGTGGTCATCTCACTGTGGAAAATTATCACGCTCATTCTTGCAATAGGTGCCCCAAAAACCTTTGCAAAAATGTAGTTTTGGTGGAATTTGTAGATAAACAGTTACAACAAGGAGTGAATTATACACAGATTGTTTATATAGGTGACGGTGGGAATGATCTTTGCCCAATAACCTTTTTAAAGAAAAATGATGTTGCCATGCCACGGAAAGGATATACTTTACAGAAAACTCTTTCCAGAATGTCTCAAAATCTTGAGCCTATGGAATCTTGTGTTGTAGTTTGGTCTTCGGGTGTTGAAATAATTTCTCATTTGCAAGTTCTAATAAAGGAGTAATATGCCAACAATTGAAATGTGTACCAGTTAAGATTGGGTACAGCAGCATAAAACTAAAATCCCAAATGCCAGTGGTTTAAAAAAAAAATCTTTTTCCTATCACTTAAAAGAATTCCAGAGGTAAGTATCTCTCAAGGCCGCTATTTTGCTCTACCAACTTCAGCACTTGGCTACCAACTCATGATACAAGATTGTTATTCAAGCTCCAATCCTCAAATCAATCTTTTATGGCCAGCAAGAAGGAAGGCAGTGAATTGCACTCATTTAAATTGCATTGGCCAAAACTCAGTCACAATGCCCCCACCTAATTGCAAGGAAGGATGAAAAATATAGCTTTTATTCCAGATGGCCATTTGCCTGGAAAACATTGGAAAAAAGAGGAGTATAGAATTAAGGTAAGTGCAACTAGTGGTCACTACCAAAGTTGGCTGATAGATTATTCTCTTCAGAAAGAATAGTCATATATTTTACTTTCTTAGATATTTATTTCAAAAGCATGTCCAATAGTTGTAGATCTTAAAAATAAACCTGATGCTTTATTCACATAGCCCAAATATATATAATGTTCTATTCCCAAATCAGTGTATTTTATTTTTAAAAAATATATTTTTATTGATTTCAGAGAGGAAGGGAGAGGAAGAGAGATAGAAACATTGATGATGAGAGGGAATCATCGGTTGGCTTCCTTCTGCATGCCCCCCTACTGGGGGTCGAGCCTGCAACCTGGACATGTACCAGTAACCTGGACATGTGCCCTTGACGGGAATCAAACCCCGGACCCTTCAGTCTGCAGGCTGATGCTCTATCCACTGAGCCAAACCAGCTAGCACCCAAATTAGTGTATTTTAAAGGTAGGGATGCAGTATCTATTACCCAAGTTTTCATCAATTCCAAACTTTTAAAATTAAATACATATCAATGTTTCTCAAATATTTTAAACTTAGTATCACAACTATAACTCCAGTATACTGGTTTAATCAGTGTATTATTTCTACTGTGCAGTCTTGAGTGATATAATATGTAACTTGTAGAAATACTCAATATTTAAGATATTGATTCATGTAGAATGTTAGCAAAATAGCAAGTGATGTAAAAAGGTTTATAATTTCATGCTAATTTCTAGGCTCTTGTGTTTTAGGCATATATATCCATTGTGTAAAATATTAGAATTTTTCTTTTCCACCATGGAAAGCTCCAGAAATAGAAAAGTTCAATATAATTTAATGGGGGGGGGGTGCGGGGGCGGGGAATGGGTAGGTTGTAATTCGTTCTTTCAGGTTGAAAAAATAAATCTTTAAATTAACAGGTTAGATTACATGTAAACACATTTACTCTTATAGATTATTATTTCTCTATATGTCGAGGCCAGTAACAAATTACAAATTATGGTAGTAAAAAAAAAACAACATAAGACTTTTATTTATTATAATGGTAGATCAAGTAATTTGGACCAGATTTTCTAAAAAGCACATCTAGAAAAGCTGATAGCTAAACAGAAATTTTAAAACATCTGCTTAAAGACTTGAGAGAGCTGATAATAATGAACAACTGCTACCAAAGCACAGAAATCCAAGTAGGTGAGCTGCTTTTTCCTAGAAGTGTTGGCTAATTCTGTAATTATTGTCTGAGATGCTGAGTGGTTATCTTGACAATATCATGCTACCAGGGGGAAGAGGCCTGCAGTGATAAACCTTTCCTCTTTGAGTAACAATTCCAAAACAAGTAAGAATTATCCATTTGGAGTAAGAATGATCCAGAAATAAGCATACCTACCCAGGGATGGCAGCTCAGCTTTGAATATTCTTAGTCCCTGAAATTGGATTGAGATTATCTACAATTTTTTAGAGCTCCCAGGTGCTTGACAGAAACAAATTTAAATTCTCTCAAAAGGATGTTAACATCCTAGGTATGTGGACAGACTCCAACGTGGCCTCCCACAACCCCTGTCATTGGTATGCCTTGTTTGTGTGTGGAGAGGGGGAAATATGACTTCCTTCTAATCAATAGGATACCACAAAGATGATGAGGTCTATGTAATTATGTACACATGCTTACATCATATTCTAATGCCCATCTTAGTGAACTCTCCCTTGTTGACTTTGAAGCCAGCTGCCATGTTATGAACTGGCCTTGGGAGAGGGCCACATGAAAAACAACAGTTAGCAGAAGTAGGTCTTTGGTGCAGCAGTCTGCAAGGAACTATATGCTGCCACCATGTGAGCTTGAAAGTGGATCCTTTCCCAGTGGAACCTCAGCTGAAACCACACCTGACACTTTGATTGCAGAAATGTGAAACCCTGAAACGGAGTCCTCAGGTGAGCTGTGCTTGGACTCCTCGCCCATAGGACCTAAGATAATAAATGTGTATTGTTTTAAGACACTTAGTTTGTGGTAATACTGTTATGCAGCCATAGAAAATTAATGCAGTAAGCCTCAAAATAAATCTATAAAGTTTTTCAGGTACACTGTAGGACACAATAAAAAGCCACACCAAGAAGCAATGAATACCAGCAGAAGCTTCCATTTAAACAGATCTGCGGGATATCCAGATATTGCAGTTTTCAGACACAAACTAAGGAGAGCTTGGGCAAAGAATTAAAAACTATATTTTAAAAAATATATGGAAATACTAGAGCTGAAAATTACCATGGCTGAAATTAGAATCGATGAATGGATTGTCAACAGAACGGGCATGGTTGAAGAGAGAATTAGTGAATGAACATAAGTTAGAAGAAAATATCCAGAATGATGCAAAGAGACAAAACAATGAAAATATAGCAATTAGCAAAATATCTGTGACACAGAATATACAGTGAGATCTAACAGTAAATCAGTGTCCAGAAAGAAAGGACAAAGAAAAAAAGTATTTTAAGAGATAATGACTGAAAATTTCACAAAATCAATAAAAAAACATCAAACCACAGATTCAAGATTCCTTACGAACCCCTAAACAGGATCAAAAGAAAACCACATGAAATCACATCATTGTAAAACTGCTGCTAACCAAAGATGGAAAAAGCTTAAAGCTGCCAGAAAAAAACACAAAAAGACATCGAAAGGAGCAACAATTAAACTAATAGCTGGTACTATTTCTTAAATATTTGGAAGAATTCAATAATAAAGCCATCTAGGCCTGGAGTCTTTGTTGGAAGGTTTTTTTAACTACTAATTCAATATCTTTCATAGATAGAGGGCTATTCAGGTTGTGTAGTTTTTCTTGAAGCTTTGGTAGTTGACTATTACTTTGCTGCAGAGTAAATCACCTCAAAATTCAACAGCTGAAAAAAAATGTAACAGCTTAAAACTAAGAGTTAATTATCTCACAGGTTCTATGGGTCAGGAATTTCAGAGCATGTAACTGGGTTCTGGCTCAGGATCTGAAATGAGTCAAGATATGTGCTAGTGCAGTGGTTCTCAACCTTGGCTGCACATTAGAATCACCTGGGAATCTTTTTAAAATCCTGATTTCTGGGCCTCATCCCCCAGAAATTCTGTTTCTTTGTTACTAATGTTGTGCCCCACCCCATAAGAAAGAAACAGAATTTCCGGAGGATGAGGCCCAGAAATCAGGATTTTAAAAAGATTCCCAGGTGATTCTAGTGTGCAGCCAAGGTTGAGAACCACTGTGCTAGGCAGTATTCATATGAAAGCTTGACTAGGGCTGGAGGCTCTGCTTGCAAAATGGCTCACTCGCCTGCCTTTTGGCAGGAGGCCTCTGTTCCTCATTGATTGTTATCACAAAGTCTCATTTTATTGTTGGTTGTTGGCAGGAGGCCTCGATTTCCAGCCACATGGGCCTCTCCAAAGAGCTGCTTGGGTGTCCTAAAGCCATGGTTTCCTGCCAAGTGAGCTGCTATCCAAGGGAGAGTGCAAAGAGAAACCTACTATGCCTTTTGTGACCTCCTCTTAGAAGTCACATACCATTACTTCTGCCATATTCTATTTGTTACATGAGAGCACTGAGTCAAGTCCATGCTCAAAGAGAGGGAAATTAGACTTCCTTTTTGAAGAGGGAGTCAAAGAATGTGTAGATATAATAAACTCTGGCTGGTGTGGCTCAGTTGGTTGGGCATCAGCCTGTGCACCAAAAGGTTGCTGGTTCGATGCCTAGTCAGGGCACTCCCCCGGGTTGTGGGCTCAATCCCTGGTCCGGTGCAAGTGGAATGTTTCTTCTCCCTCTTTAAAAACCAATAAACTAAGTCATTTCTATTTCTGTGTTGTTGTTTTTTTAATGTTTGATATGTCCTTTTCTCATTTATCTGTAGGGTCTTATGTTCTTACCTCTTTTTCTGAGTAATTCATATATGAAGGATATTAATATTGTCATATTTGTAAAAAATATTTGCATAATTTTGTGTTAATATTTTCTAAATCTTATTTTTTAAAATATATTTTTATTGATTTCAGAGAGGAAAGGAGAAATAGAGAGATAGAAAAATCAATGATGAGAGGGAATCATTGATCAGCTGCCCCCTACTAGGGATCAAGCCCGAAACCTGGGCATGTGCACCTGACCGGAATTGAACCCAAGACCCTTCCGTTCACAGGCCGATGCTCTATCCACTGAACCAAACCAGCTAGAGCCTAAACCTTATTTTGATTATTTCTAGATAATCTGGTCTTAATCAATCTTTCTTTCTTTCTTTCTTTCTTTCTTTATTTATTTATTTTTATTTCTTTCTTTCTTTCTTTCTTTCTTTCTTTCTTCCTTTCTTTCTTTATTTTTATTTCAGAGAGGAAGGGGGAGAGAGAGATAGAAACATCAGTGATGCAAGAGAATCCTGCATGCCCTCCCCCTCCCCCCTAGAATTGAACCACGACTTCCTGGTTCATGGGTTAACTCTGAATCACAGAGCTACACCAGCCAGACTTAATCTTTATTTTTAAATATAAACATCTAAATTGAACATGTGGGTTATTATTCTTTAGGTTGTATGAGACAAATATATTGATACACACTAGCTAGGCTTATTAAAATGTAAGATTCTTGTTCTCTAAAACATTTCCTTTGTA